GCCGCTGCGTGCATGCATGCGCGACGCGAGGGCCATTTTTCTATGGAGGCATATGCATGCATGGGCCATCTCTTCCCCGCCGGCCGAGCTCTGTGTTCTGGACTCATCTCTCCTCTCTCTTGCAAAGAGCATCTATCTATAGTTTCTCTCCTTCCCCGAGCATAATATTTTTTTGACCGAAGACCCCGAGCATAATACCACATGCATGCTGCTTACTCGATCCCTCCGTTCCTAAATGTATGTCTTTTTAGTGGCTTCAAATAAACTACAGCATACAGATGTATATAGATATATTTTAAAGCGTAAATTCACTCACTTTGGTTCGTATGTAGTCCCTTATTAAATTTTTTAAAAATATTTATATTTAGAAACGGAGGGAGTATTTTACTTGCCCCTAGCACGGGTAAGAATGGTCAATGATGCATAATACGTAGTAGGAATAAAATCTCCTCCCAAGGCCAAGCAAGAGCTGCTTGTTTCACTCACTTCTTCCTTCTCTCCTCCTCCTCCTCTTCTTCTTCTTCTTCAATCACCAGCAGGTGGACATGCATGCTAGTAGCTCCCGACGAATTTCTTTTTTTCTTTTTTTGAAATACAGCTCCTGATGAATCGAGCAAGGACTAGTGCATTACTCTACTTAGTAGTGGGCATGCAGTGCAGGCACAGCTCGCTAGGCTCCACAGGGCTGGTGGCTGGCACCAAGGAAGGAAAAGGACAGGGCATGAATGAGTGTGGCCCGGCGTGCCGGCCACCCACCACACTTTAATTTGGCCACATCCTGGACGTGGACAGATGGGCGCCCCGACACGAATTCAACTCAATTCAACTGAATTCAATTCGCTACGTTTCGGGTGCAATTAGGACTCGGGTCTCTCCCTGGCTGTCAGGCTCTGGCCCTCCCTCCTCACGCGCATACTGTAACCCTATCTATCTATCTCTTGGGTGGGTTGGATCCATATCTCTCTCTTCCTCCTGCGCCGTCGCCGGCCGCATCGATCTCTCCCTTGGATCTCAGCCGCGCCGGCCATGGCTGCTCCGTCAACTCTTCCTCTCCTCACCGCGCGCACACCTGCCGTCGCCGCTCGCACCCACGCAGGGTGCCCTACGTTTGCGTCTCGCGGCCGGTCGGTCGATGTGATCCGTCCGGCCGGACGCGATCTGATCCAGCCGGCCGGACACGGTCTCTGCTGAATCCTAGGCAAAAGCAAGATCCAGGTTAGGTTAATTTCTAGGCGTTGGGTTTGGTCCAATTCGATCCTGTTCTACTAGTCTTCATCAGATCTTGCTTGATTTTGATTTCAAGTCATAAGCATGACGGATTATTTAGTTTCTGTGCATGTGTTGGTCTCTAATTACTCGGCCTTTGTTCTACTGTATGTATATATGTAGGTTGGATCTGCGGTCATGTTTCACTGGAAACCCGGCCGGCGGCGAGGCCACGCGCAACCGCGGGGACTCCTCACGTTGAGGAGCGGCTGCATCTCCCTGTGTATTCATGGCTGGCCAGCACGTAAGCGCAAACTCTCTGGCTAGCATCTACTCCCTCCGTTCCAAAATAGATGACCCAACTTTGTACCAAGTTAGTACAAAGTTGGATCATCTATTTTGGAACGGAGGGAGTAGCTTTTGTTTCATTTAGATTTTATTGCATCTTCATATCATTTTTTTTTCTTCCTGAGGATATTTTTCTGATGTTTGGAGAATCATTATTATCCTTGATTAATTAGAGAATGGTTATTATCCGGAGAGTTTACAAGTGATCTTTCGGGAGTATGCGACGGATTTCTTGGGAGCGGCTAATGGTTGATAAGGTGGGGAAAAGAAAGGAAACTCATATAGTCTAAGACCCTGTTCGGAATTCCGCCAGCTCCGCGAAATCAAATCCCCGGAGCTGCGGAGCCAGGAAACAGCAGCTCCGCTATTTTCAACAGTAACTCCACCCGCTCTGGGAGTGGAGTTGTAACAGGGCCTAAGAGTTCCTTTTTATTTATTTATAAAAGAATCAATCCCCCAGGGCTAGCTCCTGGTTTCATTTTCTGAAACTGAATGTTGCACACAATACCTAGTCGATCGATACCAGTGTCCTGCCCAACGCACTGCCACACGAAAACTTAAAACAAGACCAGTCCACAAGCTACAGCAACAAGCCATGAGATTAACATTGCCAACCATAGGCTAATTAAGAGTTGCTAGTTGATTGTTGGTCAATACTACTTTTCTTTTCTCAAAAGAAAAAGAAGACATGTTCCTCTCCTGTTCCGGTGTCCAGCATGTGATGCAGGTGAGGCACGATGTGGAAAGGGAACTCACTCTTTCATCAAAATCTGCCTGACTACCCACCCAGTCTTTCTCCTGCCTGCCCTTTCCAACCTACCTTTGGTTCTTGTTCTTCCACGATTCCACCCATTACAACAGCCGGAAGAGAAGAATTTTCTTAAAGAAACCACATTGTTTTTGTAACTACTCCCTCCGTCCGGAAATACTTGTCACCAAAATGCATAAAAAAGGATGTATCTCGACGTATTTTAGTTCGAGATACATCACCTTTTATCCATTTTGATGACAAGTATTTTCGGACGGAGGGAGTACTAGCTAAGTGCCCGTGTGTTGCCACGGAACCACAATAAACTAATACATGTTCACTAAGTTGAAAAATACCCATATATCACTAAAAATGTGTTAATTAAGTTTGACCTAGAATTTTAATCCCCTCATTTGTTCTACTACACAACAATTCTTAAACAAAGAAAAACTCACCACTTATTTTTTGATCTTGTTTCGTTGCCTTGTCAATATCTACAAATATAAATCAGCATGCAGACAATGAGTTTATGACAAAATCATTTAAGTTAAATTTAGTAGACTACATGGGGAAATCACTCAACCAAGAAAACAATACAATCATCTTCTTTTACAAATAATACAATCATCTTCTTTTACGAGGCCTCCTCTCTCTCTCTCTCTCTCTCTCTC